GGCTGCTGCCGCTTTTGGCCAGCACCAGCACCAACAGCTGCAGACAGACCGTATGCAATAGCAGGTGGACCTCTGAGGGAAGCTCGCTCTTTCTCTTCCTCTTTTCAGCCTTCCAGTATAAGTAGCTAACCAGAGACAATTGGTGTTAACTAAGGAGCTTTAAGGAAAGCGACGCTATCGTGAAGCGAAAGATTTTTATTCCACTGTCTTCATACAGTTTTGCATCCAAATTGTGTTGTTAGAGGGGAGGGGTAGTGCGGCATGTCTAGTTTCAAGTACCAAGCTAGAAGAAAACGAGGGGAAAACAATACTGTACTGTCATGAAAGAGTGGCAGGGGTAGCAATGGGACTTCATATTTTTGAACAAACAAGAACCAAAAAAAGCAGAGGTGTTTTTTTTACAGTATCAGGGAAGCAAAAACTGCCTTTTATAAGTAAGAAAATGGTATCCAAAAAGTTTGAACCAGGGAAAAAACTGAGTCAGCAATATGTAATCTTTATCCATTTTTAAAAGGAAGCAAGCTTAAAGCACTGATTGTCCTTTCTAGCTTTCAGAAGTTGTCTTCGTGAGATAGTACCTTCTCACTGTCTCACTAACGGGCATCGAACAAGCCAAGGAAGATGGCCAGCTAGTAAGATGGCGGACAGGCACCAAAGTTATTTTCTTCTCTGTCCTCTGGATGAGTGGAACTATGGAGCAAGTGATGTGGAAGTAAGGGGTGCAACAGCTGTAGAGACAATCAATAACACAGACAGTTCTGGACAGAACACATCACTCGTGCTCATGTGATGAGCTTGTCACATCCTAATCCCTCGCCCCATCCTGTTTCACTTTTGGGAAACTTTAACTGCTGGTGTCAGCTATTCTGATTCTAAAATAGGATCAGCCCTTTACTACAACAGCCTTCTCTTTATATTTATTGCATCTATTCATAACTTGTGAATAAAGGCAGGAAGAAACCTAATGAATTAAAACCTTTAAGAACTGTTTTAAGGGAATTTTCTTTTCTGAAACCATTTGTACAATTTTAATACCTATTTCAGGATTATATTTAAAATATTTATTAGCAAACCTACAGTATGCAAGGCAACTTTGGTTACCAGGACTGCAGTTCTTGAAGGGTTAATGGTATGTGATTTATACTGTGCCTTAATTGTTATGCTATTTAAAAAGAAATATTTATTTTGAAAATTTTACTATGCTGCGCTCTAAAGAAAGCAACTTTAGATGTGACACTGTAAAATTATGTATTCATCTCATGGCATAAATTATTTAGTAGGCTTAGATGTAGCATATTAAATATTAACCTAATTAACTGAGGATGTTGACTTGGATTTATTTAAATTCAGTATGTGCACTGTATGAGGGTACTCTTAAATTAACACTTTTTTAGGTTTTTACATAAAATATTGCTAGTTCATTCTTTTTCCCTCTACTAGTATTTCATGGAGACCTCTCAAATACATTATTACCATTTTCTCACTCATCTGTATGTAGACTGACTATTTTTCCCTTTGCTAGAAAATGCTGCTTTACATTGTCCTGTGAAACTACAATACTTGCAATTTTTATTCTTGATGAAATGGAATTTAATATTTTACACTGTATTGGATTTTTTTATACTTGAACAATTTCATACAAGGGAAGACAGGATAGCATTTTTATGGACTTTATCCAATGTCACTGGATTTATTTTAAGTATTCTGAATACTAGCCAGTGTTATAATGTAGACATGACTCTCCTGTGCATATTATTTATTCAGTATGTATATTGCTTTACAACATTTCAGATCTCTTAATCTATTCACTTGTATTAAAACAATTAAAAATGTTGTTGCAGCCCATCTGGTGATTTTTTTCTCAAATTGTCTTAGATCTTGTTTAGATAAAACCAGGAGGGCAACCTTTTATGTAATTTTCTTGGTCTGGAGGGTGAATAGCAGCATATGTACTGACTTTAAATACACAGAATGGTATGAACTGTATCAGATGGAGGAAATTCTACAGAGAAGATGGAGAACATCCATCCTCAGAGTTACCATAAAATAATTCAGAGTGGAACGGACTTTGAGAGATCCCAGGTTGGTTATGGCTTTTTCTAGACAGGTCTTAAAATCCTCCATGTGGAGACTACACAACCCCTCTGGGTAATCTACCCCACTGCCTAAATAGCCCCATAGTGTAATTTAAATTTTTTTCCCACTTTTATCTAGCCAGAACCTCCCCTGTTCATTTATAACCTTCATCTCTCATTCTTTGGCAAAGAGCCCAGCCCTGTCTTCTCAGTAAGCTCCTCTTAGGAACTGGAAAGTTGCTGCTCTCTTCCGTAGGCTGAAAAACCCCACTGCCTCAGCCTCTCCTCACAAGTCTCATGCTTCAACCCCCAGCCGTCCTGTTGGCCCTCCAATAGAGTCATTCAAGTTTTATCAACAGCTTTCATGTACTGGGAGAGTCAAGGCTGGACCCACCATGCCAGCTGTGGTCCAATGAGTGCTGAGTACAAGGGAAATCAATTCCCTTGATCCACCATCTGTGCTTCTGTTGATACAGTCTGGTATAGTTTCACTGCTGCCAGAGTTTGCTACTGGCAAACACAATGGCAAACAGCCTACCCTAACCCTCCTGTGTCCTTTTTGGCAGAGCTGCTACCAAGTCAGTCATGCCCTGGCCTATGCAGGAGGTTAGTCCATGTGAGATAAAGGAGACTCTGTTTGTCCTTACTGAATTTCATGAGGTTCTTCTTGTCCTAGTTCTCTAAGCAAGTGTAAACCACTCCAAATGGCAGACCTGATCTCAAGCATATCAACCATATGGATCATTGAGTCACCATTCCTGGAGATATTTAAAAGACATATAGGTGTGGTGCTTCGGGTCATGGTTTAGTGGTGGACTTAGCAGTGTTAGGTTTATGGTTGGATTCAATAATCTTCAGGGTCTTTTCCAACCAAAACAGTTCTATGATTCTGTAACTACGCTCCCCATTTAGTATAATTGGTCTGCAGACCGGGTAGTACTGCGTCCTGTCGCTTCCTCCAGGTCATTGATAAAGATACCAGACAGGACAGATCCCTGAGGAACTCCACTGTACCCAGTCTGCAGACAGAGCATGAGCCTTTTGGACCAATGATCCAGTCAATTTTTTGCCCAGCTAGACTGGACCATCTGAAATTGGATATAAGGATTCTGTGGAAGACTACATGGAAAGCCTTGCTAAACTCAAGGCAGCCAACATCCTCTACTTTTCCCTCATCAACAGATGAAATCATGTCATCACATGACGCAATTAGGTTGGTCTAGCATGATTTACCCTCGTAAATCCATGCTGGCTATTTCCAATCACCACCTTCTTCCTGTGCCCAGAAACTACTCTGGAGATTGCTCACTCTGTGATTGTTCTATATTTCCCTAGAGTGTTCTTCTTGTCCTTTCTGAAGATGGGTGCATCATCTGCTTTTCTCCAGTCATGGAAGATCTCCCCAATCTCTATGACTTTTCAAAAATGGCAGCGAGCAGCCTCAGATGAAAACAGCCAGCTCTTAATATCCTCTTGGGTGCAGCCCTTCTGGTCCCATGGATTTATGTGGATTGAGATTTATTAACGGGTCCCTGAATCAATCCCCTTCCACACCTGTGGTTTCTTTCCTCCCTGAACCCTGCCTATAAGCACAAAATGCTATTCTTAAGAACCTAAACACCAGGACAGCTTTTTGCATATAGTACTTGAACTGGGAAGCATTGAAGTAGCTGCTCACATCCAATTGATAATGGACTCGTAACCTATAAGAATACTCAACGTTTCAGTATCAGTCCAAGCCACTAATGACCAAAAGCAGTTGCTACCTGATACCTGAAAGAAGGCTGTGTGAAATCCTTTACTGTCTTGGCCAATTCTTAGGGTAATGGGAGGTTGTTCATATAATCTTCATATTAGAATTCATGACTGCAGGTGTCACTCTTAAGGTGACTTAAGCAGAAGCACAAGCTTAACTGCAGAATTAAGCTGTTCTTTCATCCACAAAAGTGGTCTTTTTCATCTGCAAAAGAGGGCAGAAGTGAAATTGAAGAGACAGATTTTTCCTCATCTTGGGGTCAGACTTTATTTCACTGTGGAGGATTATGAGACTCAATTGTCCAGAACTGGTAATACTCACTCACGTCCTGGGCTGATGCTGTCGTGTTCTGTTTCTAGTAAGTGCTTCTAGCCTGGCTGCTGAGAAGTGTTGCCAAACTGCTTTTTGCAGACCTTAAGACCTACGACCCTGCAGGCTACAATGTAATGTTCTTTTCTGCTAAGAAGCATATAAACACCCAGCAGGGAGGTGAGTAGTAAACAGTTAATAAATGCCATTTTCTGTTCTTTTCTCCCATTTCCCAGTGCAGAGAGGGTCGGCCTAGAGGACATTGTACTGAGTAGAAATTAAAAACAGAAGTCTCTCTGAGGGGAAGACAGAGGCTACAGATGGCTCAGGAATCCATGTGGCACAGTAACCTACTATTTGATATAGGAAGAAGGTGGTATCTTTGTCCTGTATACGTACACCCCTGTCAGTGTCCTTGGGCCTTCCCCTGCCTCCATCTAGAGGTGACAGGCACCCCAGGGTGGAGCATGAAGGGGAATACCTGCTGCCCTGGAGGGGACCTTTGTTGTGGTAAGCCATAACAGGAACAGACTACAAATTTATGAATCCATTTATAATGGTCATTTGCATGCTGGCTCTATAATTTGACAGATGAAATTACCTCAACAAAAAAGTTAATGTGTCATGTTCCACCAGTAAACCTAGCATTGGGCATAACAACCTGAACACTAACTAATACTTTAGCTAAATGAGTAGCTGAACAGACCTTTGTACATAATATTCCTCCATAACACCTCACACACTTGAAACACAAATAGTTCATATTACCAGGATCAAAATTGAAAAATAGAGAAGTAGCAGCACTTCATTGTGAAATACGTGAATACTCAGCAGAAATGTTAGCATTTTACTTGAGAGATGGCAAATATGTAAGCAGCAAGAGATTGCACACAATGGAATTTTCAGCTGTGTTTCCAAAATGTACCAAAGACATTTTGCACTGAAAGGTGATCAATGCTGAGTTCCTTGCAGAGGGAGGAAAGGGGGAAGATGTTGAAAGTACAAACACTACCACTAAGAAATGTGTAGATTAAAAAGGTGTAAAGCCCTGAAAGGTTATGCTGACAAGCTGGCTGCTGGAGTTGTAATTTTTCCTAACATTTGTATTTTCCTATTAACTGGTGAAGATACATTGGCAGACAGATCCAGGCTCTTCTCAGTGATGTCCAGTGATCAGACAAGGGGCAACAGGTGCAAGTTGGGGCACCAGAGGTTCCACGTAAACATAAGTAAAAACTTTTTTGCTGTGAGGGTGTCAGAGCACTGGAACAGGCTGCCCAGTGAGGTTGTGGGGTCTCCTCTGGAGACTTCAAAACCCACCTGGAAAAGTTCCTGTGTGATGTGCTCTGGGTGATCCTGCTCTGGCAACAGAGTTGGACTAGATGATCTTTCAAGGTCCCTTCCAACTCCTAACATTATGGGATTCTGTGTGATTCTGTGATTACTAGAGTTAGAATAATTGAATCATAGAATGGATAAGGTTGGAAGGGACATTGGTGATCATCTAGTTCCAAACTCCCTGCTGTAAGCAGGGACACCTCAAACTAGACCAGGCTGCACAAAGCCTCATCCAACCTGGCCTTAAACACCTCCAAGGACAGGGCTTCCACAATGCCCCTGGGCAACCAATTCCATTACCTTACTACCTGG